ATAAGTGCAGCGGGCTCCGTACAGTGCCAATGAGTTTGGACAGCCTTACCAGGTTGAAGCAGTTGGAGCTGACTGGGTGTGAGCAGCTGAAAGAATCTCCAAAATTCCTGCCACTCACTCTCGAGGTGCTAAGTCTGGGTAATTATGAGAAGCCCACGGCTCTGCCAGACATGTCAGGGCTTACAAACCTCAGGAAGCTGTGCTTGCGTACCATCGAGGCAGGATGCTGGCTGCCCATTAGCAATGGTCTTTCTAGCCTAGAAGACTTGAGTCTCATCATGGCTGACAATGCAGAGGAGCTTTTGATTTCATTGGCGGGTCCTTCACGCCTCCGTACGCTGAACATTGGTTCTGCTCGAAACCTGAGGAGGCTTCCGGATTTGTCACCTTTACAGGATCTACGGCAGCTGGGCATAGACATGGCTGAACAGCTGACAGAGCTGCCAGCGACCATCACAAGCCTGCAGCATCTGACATCCATTGATATTTATGCACCCAAGTTGACTTACCTTCCAGAGGGCATCGGGGCCTTATCCAGATTGCGCAAGCTAAGCCTTACCAACTGTTTTTCCATCACGTGTCTCCCCCCTTCTCTCAGCCAGCTCTCTTGCCTTCACTACCTGAAACTGAACAACGTCTTCATCTCCTCCCTTCCTGAGAACTTTGGTCAGCTCACCAGACTCAAGGACCTCTGCCTTCATGGTTGCATGAAGCTGGAAGCTCTGCCTGAGGATTTAGCAGAGCTCAAGCTGCTTGGTTGTCTAGATACTGAAGGGTGTTACAAGCTATATGGTCCCATGCAGTTGGAGATGGAAGAAGATTGGTAATTTGTTGCCAGGAAATAGTTATGGCTGGTTTTCAGTTCGCTACCTTATATTCTTCGTTCTATTAGGTGTGCTTCATTTATAAGCTGAACATCGCGTTAGCAGGCATGCACGATTATGCAAGGTTGCACAACCATCAACAGTCTGCTTTGAAATCAAGCAGTCAGCACGGATACAGCCAGCCACTAAAGTATTCTATTATGGTATTATCAAACACTCATCACTTTGGAAGCCAATCACCATGCCATCATTGATGATCCATCTAGATTCTAGAATCAACATCCAGCCATGCATGCACTCACTAGGTAAGACATCAGCATCCAGTTCGAGTAAGAAGTCATCATGCATGAATCATTCTAGCCACCCTGATTCATGCCTGGCTGAATCATGCCACGCTGAATCGTGGCTGACTGGATCATGCCTGGCTAAACCTTGCCATGCTGAATCATGCCTGGCTGAATCATGCCTGGCTGAATCATGCCTGGCTGAACCATGCCTGGCTGAATCATGCCTGTCTGAATCATGCCTGGCTGAATCATGCCTGGCTGAACCATGCCTGGCTGAATCATGCCTGGCAGAATCATACCTGGCTGAATCATGCCTGGCTGAATCATGCCTGGCTGAATCATGCCTGTCTGAATCACGCCTGGCTGAATCATGCCAGGCTGAATCATGACTGGCTGAACCTTGCCTGGCTGAGCCATGCCTGGCTGAGTCATGCCTGGCTGAAACATGCCTGGCTGAATCATGCCTGGCTGAATCATGCCTGGCTGAATCATGCCTTGCTGATTCACGCCTGGCTGAATCATGCCTTGCTGAATCATGCCTGGCTGAATCATGCCTTGCTGAATCATGCCTTGCTGAATCATGCCTGGCAGAATCATGCCTGGCTGAATCATGCCTGGCTGGATCACGCCTGGCTGAATCATGCGAGGCTGAATCATGACTGGCTGAATCTTGCCTGGCTGAGTCATGCCTGGCTGAGTCATGCCTGGCTGAATCATGCCTGGCTGAATCATGCCTGGCTGAATCATGCCAAGCTGAATCATGCCTGGCTGAACCATGCCTGGCTGAATCAGGCCAGGCTGAATCATGCCTGGCTGATTCATGCCAGGCTGAATCTTGCCTAGATGAATCATGCACGGATGAATCCTATCTACTGACTTGCCTGGCTGAATCATTCCTGGCTGCTGCATGCCAGACTGAGGCATGCCTGGCTGAATCAAGCTTGTCTGGTTTATTCCGGCACAGGGAACGGAATTCAGGCACAGGGAATGGAATTCAGGCACAGGGAATGGAATTCAGGCACAGGGAATGGAATTCAGGCACAGGGAATGGAATTCAGGCACAGGGAATTTAGGGAAGGGGAGTTCAGCCTCAAAGCATTTGGCCTGAGGCTGACCTAAGACTGAACCAAGACTAACCAAGGCTGACCCAAGACTGACCCAATAATAACCTGAGAGTTACCTGAGATTGATCTGAGGGTGATCCAACTGTCAGCCAGCAATGAACTTTACAGCCCACCTCCTTCTCTCTCTGTGTGCCTTTTAGGAGGACACGGCAACAGGGCATCCAACAGCCCAGCCAAGCCTCGCCTCACCCGTTGCCCGCTTGTGACTCGCACGTACCTTCCAATCAGCCCAATACCCTCACTCAACATATTACTCAAAACACCCACCTCCGTCTCCCTCTGCTCGTCCATGCAATGTAGCTGCGATGGGTCAACCAGCAGCCCACCTAGCTTCGCTTGCTACTCACCAGGTGACCCATGGCTCGCCACATACATTTCATCACGCAACTCCCTATCCCGCTGTTCGTCTACACGGCCACGGGGCGACGTGGCTGGTGCTGCACGGAGGTTCCTACAACAGCACTGCCATGAGTCACGCACCTGAGTCACGCACGTGAGTCTCCCACCTGACACTTCCACCACCCACCTGAACCACCCACCTGTGTCACCGACCTGAGTCTCCCACCAGAGTCACCCACCTGAATCTCCCACCTGAATCACCCACCTGAGTCACCCACCTGAGCCACCCACCTGAATCACCCACCTGAGCTAGAGTCACCCACCTGAGTCACCCACCTGAGCCACCCACCTGACTCACTTACCTGAGTCACTTACCTGAGTCACCCACCTGACTCACCCACCTGACTCACCCACCTGAGTCACCCACCTGACTCACCCACCCGACTCACCCACCTGACTCACCCACCTGAGTCACCCGCCTGAGTCACCCGCCTGAGTCACCTACGTGACTCACCCACCTGAGTCACCCACCTGATGGTGCTGCTATTGTTGGTGCTGCTGCTATGGTTGCCCATGGCATTGCCGCGCCACAATTACCCCCCTTGCAGTAATCAACTGGACGGACTGGCCGTTGCACGGCATGAATCATGATACCGGGATCATGGACCATGAGAAAGGTGTTCAGTAGCTGCGACTTCAATCGGGCAGAGTGCCTCCAAGACCTCCTCATTGTCAGGAAGTTCGAGTAAGTCTGGGCGTTGTAAGAAAAGTTAGGGCAATGGTGTGTTTATTGGGTAAGATGATATCATTCATGGCACTTTGGTAAAATGGTATGAATGGATCTGGCCAATCCGAAGAACGCTCCCATTTCCAGCACAGAAGGTTGCAGGTTGCTTGCTTCTTGAGTGGAAGCTGCTCTCCAGCCCACTTAATGCAGAAGTTGCATGATTGGTTTCCCCCCTCCCCCCATCCCCCACATGTTGCAAATTGATGGCCCTTTCATCCCATCAGCTCTGCCCTACCAACCACCAGTGCCGCCACTGCCATTTATCACTAACACCCGCAGTCTCATACTGAATGGCTGCCATCCGAGAGAGGTTTGCACTTTACGGCGCCTCAACTGGAGTCCTACAAAGTGCGTGTGCAAACATCTTGGATGACTTGCCGTGCTGGAATGTTATGGGAAGAACATGTACAAAACAGCTTTCCTTGCCACCATGCGCAAGGTGTAGGGCATGGTACGGTACATTTCACCAACCGCTGTAACATCTGATACTGGAAGGGTGGCCTCTGGGGTCAGGTTTGGTACTGCCTTCTGTGCTTGTCACGGGTGTTGCTGTTGGGTACGGTATGTGCTGAGTAGTAGGCATCTCTCCAACGAGAGCATCATTCTGAGTTTGCTTGGAAGGTCGTTAAGGCTCCAATGCCTACACTCAAGTACCGACTGATAGCTCAAGTACCGTATGTCGTTCTTTTCAGCATCCTCTGTGGCAACTGTCAGACGGGCCATTTCTGAGCTAAACATAGAGGTGAGAAGGAGCACCAAGGTAGAGGACTAATATGGTAAGTCACGGATCATGTCGGCCCAATTCGCCGAGACAAAAAACACCAGCTGGCACAACTCCCGAGAAACGGCATGCTTGCGTATTGCATCTATCAATTGTAGCCAGCGCTTGGAAGTGGCCACAGAATGGAAGGCGAAAGAGAACCTACACTGGAAACAGGACTCGCCTTGTACATCCCAACACCAGATTCGAATGATCTAGAATAAGCCTTCATGTCTGAACTAATACTAGAAGGGGATCTCGTGTTCGATCCGAATGAAGTGTCGGCCTCCATTGGAGTGGCACTGCACTGAACGGCAGTTAACATTGTGCTCTTGCACTTTCGCCCCACAGTAGCAAGTTGTGCAAGCCCCGAACATTTCAGGCACACGATCGTAAATACACACTCTTAGACCTGTGGAGAGCAATTGAGGTTAAGGGTGCAAGTGCAAGAAGCGGGAAAGCGTGAGAGAAAAAACTTGGAAAATGTCAGAAGGGAAAAGAGTGAGGAATGAAAGTCACTGTATAGTTTTCCTCGAACAAAGCTGAGCAAGGCATATAGTATGGCCCTCCGCCAGCTACTGTTGCACAAGGTGAGTGATCGGCAGCATGCACAGCAACCCGCATCCCAAGTACATGCAAAGAGAGGGCTTTCCCATGCCCTCGTTGCTTGCAACCATGTTGACACACCAAACTGGCAAAGGGCACAATGCATCAGTCGGTCCATGTCTTACACCCCACCGCTGACCTTGAATACTCACCTCGCCACTCACCTAACCTACCCACCTCGCCTCCCCACCTTGCCCACCCAACTTGCCTCCCCACCTTGCCTCCCCGCCTTTCTTCCCCACCTTGCTTTACCACCTTGCCTCCCCACCTTGCCTACCCACCTTGCCCACTCACCTTGCTAATCGTCGTGCCACTGTTGCCGCTGCCATCCTTGCTCTCATCCTTTCCAATCTTCTTGCCATTGGTCCTGCCGGGGCAAGTGAGCTTGTGGGAGGGCCAGTGCGCCTTTTGGCACTCTCTGCTGCAATACGCCACCTTTCCACACCCACCACAGCTTCTCAGCTTCACACCACCACCCTCCACTATCCCACACCCTGCAACACCGCACGCACGTTCCCCACCAGCGAAGGGACCAGAGCCTTTAGTGGCTGAAACGGATGCACTGTTTTGTGAAACTCCGGTGGCTGGAGCAGCAAGGGAAGAAGGGGTACCAGGAGAGGCAGGGCGGTAGCACGGCTCCCCCAGCAGCATCTCTCGCAGACATGCCAACAGATTGATTCCCCCTGGCCATGGCTTCAAATAAGCAGGCACCTCCTCCATTTCTCCATTTCCCTCGCTGTTGATACGGCAGCCTCCTTCTCCACCACCACCACCGCTGCCGCCGCCGCTGCTGTTGCCGTTTCCCATGCTTGTGTGACTACTTCTCATGCTGCTACTCCTAAAGCTGCTGTCCTCGCTGCTGCTGCTGCTGCTGCCACAGCCACTGGCAAACCCTCCTTGACCCGGCGGCATGTCTTCACGTAACCTCGAATTTGCAGCCTGGTTCCAAATGTCAACTCCCCACGTTCTCGGTTGCTCATCGCTGCTGCCTCTGCCGCACGTCTCATCCAATCCCGGCCTAAGAAGCTTCGTGTTTGACCGCCAGGCAGTAAACATACAGAAACACCATGATCGCACCTCCTGCCACACATCCCCATCTCCCTCCTTATCATTGCCCAAATCCTCTTCCGCCCCACTCTCACCAACTTCCTCCTCAGGGCCAATGAGTCTGGTTATGGCCTTGGCATGATACAAGGCAACGGCTAGCAAGAAGAAGACAGGCATCTCTTGCACCTTGTGACGCATCACGCTCTCCCTCATGCCTGAATTTGTAGGTAGCCAAAGCACCTGCTCTGCCCTTTGGCGCATCCCACTCACACCCCTCCTCATGCCTGCAGCCGCTGAAACATTTATTGATTTCATCTGCTCAACATTGAGGGGCGACCGCAGCAGCAGCGCCTTCAGCAAATGGTCAAACTCAGGGGCCTGGGGGGGAAAGGCCGCGAGAAAGCGTTTAAAAGGGCTTCAATGGGGCGATAGGCGAAATTGGCAATGAGAGCGCAACAGGAGATGTGTTGGACAAAGGCGCTCAGGCACTCCATGCACTGGCTGCACTCTGGGGGCGAGATCACACAACCAAGAGAGTCCAGCACAAAGTCCACATCAGCCCTGCAGCGAATGATGGGCATGGCATCAACGAGTCTGCAGAGGACGGGTCTGTGGGCAATGAGGACGTGGGTGCATCTTGAAAATCGCCTTGCCCCTCCCCATGCCCTGTGACCATTTCATCGTTCCTGCTGCGACCCCCCCTCCCAGATCTCCTCCTCCTTCCTCTTCCCCTCCCAGCCCTGCCAGTCCCCGCTGCTCTCTCTGCCTGCTCAGATGGCCTCGGCTCACCCTCCTCTGCCACCTCACCCTCCTTAGTCGCTTCACCCTCCTCCTCTCCCATCCCACTCTCCTCCACAATACCCAGACCAAAGAAACGCGCACTTGGATCTTCAGGAAAATTGGTAGCAGCCACTCCTCGCCTTGGGGCCACTCCTCACACTCCATGGAAAAGGCGCTTTCCTCAAGAGGCTTGGGGACGGTGCCAAGCCTAAGAAGCAAGCTTCAAAGGTCCCGAAGTGGATGACGCATGGGCAGGACCTTTCCTTGTGGGCTGTCCTTGAAGGAGCGTTTCTCAAATATGAAATCCGAGCCGTAGATTCGGACCCACTGCAAGATGCAACCGACTCGATAAGTTGCGGCAGCTACAAGTGGTTTGTGTTGACAGGCACGAGCCCAGGGGCGAGAATGGCACCCAGTTGAGGTACTCGAGATGCAGTGGGCAGAAAAACCCTTGGCAACAGACGAGGAACTCGAGGCAGTAGAAGAATTGGTAGCACCTGAAATCGTTGAGGCAGGAGCACTGCTAATTCCAGGTGCGCCGGTGGCATCAAAATCCCTAGTTTCAGCCGCTACTGAACTGGTGCTCGGTCAGTGCATCTTGCTCCATACGCTCTTGTTGGTGTTAGGCCCCAATCTCACATTTTGTACTTGTACTTTTATATCCTAGTTTAGTGTAGTTTGCACTTTGTGTTTGGTTGGGTGTACACCCACATCCCAACCAAACCCAAATGTAATATCCAAGCAATCTCCAACCCACCAATTGGAGATTGCCTTGAGATTACCCTTGATTCCTAGGATTGCCTCCTGATTCCCTCCTCATCCCTACCTTGCTCATTCCGGATGTACTTAAAGAGCTTTGAGCTCACTACTATAGTATCAATTCTAAGCCCGTTTTTGACATGGTATCAGAGCACCTCAACCGCATACGCGGATCGTGATCCTCTCATCTCTGCGGATACTTGTCCCGCAAACCTCGGGAAGCCATTGCCAATCTCGTCGCCGTTGATTCGCGACATTCATCGGCGGAATTTCTCCCGCCACATCTTCCCGTCACCATCGACGGAAACTTCTCTGGTAAGCGCATCGTCGGCGCTCTAACCTAACACTCGTTTTCATCAATTCGTCACTCTCGTCACTTCTTCTCCTCGGTCGGGGCCGCCGCCCGTCGCCCTGCAGCTTCTCGTCGGCCGCCGCGCCGTTCGCCCTGCAGCTTCTCGTCGGGCTGCCGCC